GGGTTTACCTCATCTGCAAGATGAAGATCTTAATGGCCCCGAATGCAAAGCGTCCGTTGGAAGAATTAAATGAAATCATGCAGATAACGCGCTTTCCATAGCAGCTGGCAATGGCGATCCATACATGATCGTTATTACTGATGGTCTCGCCGCTCGCGCCTCCCCGCTGGAAGAGAGCCCGGGACAGTGCCTGACCCGCGGTTGGCGTTCGACAAAAGTGAATTCCCTCGCCTGTCTCTCCTGCCGCCGACTCCCTGGGGACCCAGGCATTCCGGCCTCCAGCCGCCCCCCCACGCGGGCACTCACAAAGGGCCCCATTCATCCCCAGCGCACAAAGCAGCTCATTCACCCGGTCCGGGTGGGCCTCCCGCTCCAGCCCGCTCCCCGCGCCTCTCCATTGGTCACTTTTGATGCTCGTCAGACCTGGGGTCCCACCCACCACCGCGCAGCTTGCCTCGGTTCTCCGGCTAGGTTCTTTTCCCACGGCTGGCATCCTTCGGCAACTTCTGATTGGCGCAGCCTACCAGCCGCTCTTCTTGATTGGCTACCGTTGCCCCCATGGGCGGGGCCGTAGCTTGCCGCAGCAGGCACCGATTGGTTCCCGGTGCGCTCGTGGGGGCGGGTCCGTGGCGCGGGTCCGCCCCTCTTTCTCCCCAGGCCGAAGCCTCAGGACAGCCCCGGACGCTGGTGAGTGCCCGGGGCCGGCACCTCGCCGGGGACCGCAGCGCTGGCCTGGCCCCGGGGAGGACCGAGTCTGGGGGCGGCGGTCAGGGTCCGGGGACCGGGCATGAGATACGGGAGAGGGGGCGGTGACGCGAACGCTCACCTTGGGCGCAGAGGGACGGCCGCGGGGCGGGGGGACTGGGTGGCCAGGCTCCCCCCACCCCGAGTTTCCACTGCGTGTGAGGCTGGGTGGGGGTTCCCGCAGACGTCCCCGAGCCTGTTCCGCAGGAAGGGAAACTGAGGCTGTCTTCTGGACCTTGGACAGTTTAATACCTGAGTCATGGCCTGCAGGCCCCCGCCCCCAAGATGACAATGTCTTCGCTCTCCTGAATGAAAACCAAGGGTCACAAGGAGAGGTCGTGACTGGCAGAGATAAGATGGGGAGGGGGGCATATTTGAACTCCTTCGATATACTTGGAGGCCTTTTTTTTTTTTTTTTTTTTTTTAAGATTTTGCAACTGGCTCTCACTGTGTAGTCCAGGCTGGCCTCAAACTCGCAGAGATCCTCCTGCCTCAGCTTTCCAGGTGCTGGAATTACAAGTTTGTGCCACCATGTCCAGCATTTTTGTTTTATTTTTATAACTAAAAAATCACTTCCATTATCCTATGAAGTCAAACTGGATTATATTTTACCCATTTTACAGGGAGGAGCAATTGGACTGGACAGAGGCAGGGGTGGCAGCAGCATAGGGTGGCCAATATAACACTTGGAGACCAAGCCTGTAAGGAGCAGCCCAGCCCAGGTTGTGTAGACTGGGGAGCTGGGTCACAGGCACCAGCTGGTGAAAGGAAGGTGACATTTTGGGGGACCCATTTATGACACGTTATCCCCAAGCCCCATCCTTTAGGGTGGCAAGCGATGATCCGAGCTTGAGTCCCAGCTCACCCTTTTACTGGGCAACCTTGAGTAGCTTTTTTGACCATTCTGTGCCTCAGTTTCCTCACTACAGACAGGCAAGTTCTGATCCTTCTTGTCTCGTAGCGTTTCGGCCTCACTTCACTCATGAGCCTGAAATCAGGCAGCCAGAATGACTTTCATCTTCTCTGGTACTCTGCCGATTGTGTTGTCCTTCCTGAGTTGGGAAACTGAGGCACAGAGAATAAATAAATGATCAGGCCCTGGCCTGAGCCCTTTGTGCGCGTCTTTTTAATTCCTGGGCCACATTGTCCAGGCAGAGATTCGAACCTGGGGCGTCCTCAGGCCTCTGCGACGCAGACGCTGACCTTTGGCGGTGGAGGAGGAGCCTGTGGCGCCGCCGCCCACCTGGCCACTGGGTGCCCTCCCCTCCCTGGTCGCTGTCCAGGGCCCTGCAGCTCCAGGACCCGCCCCCTCCCGGGCTGCAGGTGTGGGTGACATCAGAGCCGGTCTCCCGCCCCGCGACGCGACGTGGCCCCGCCCCGCGCTGGACCGCGGAGGAGCCGCACCTGAACACCCGAAGAGGACGGGGATCCCCGCGCCCCCTCCTCGGCTGCCTGCTCCTGCTCGCGCCCCCAGGTAGCTCCAGGATCCGCAGGGTGAGGGCCTCCCAACACAGGCTCTTGGGTATGGGGGAGACGGGGTTTTCTACTCCTAGATTCTAGAGAGGGGCTGAGGACCATGTACCCCAGGTCTGAGGGAGGTCTGTGCTGCTAGCCTGGGCTCCCTGGTCTTCAGGGAAAAGAGGGATAGGGTCAGGACTCAGGGTCTGGGGTTCTGACCCCAGGACTGAGGACGGACGCTGGAGGTGAATCCCAGGTCTGAGGGAGGAGGCTGGGTGTGTGGGTTTCTATCTGAGGGAGGAGGAAGGCAGGCCAGGCCTGGACTCCTGGTCTGACACTGCTGAGGTCAGAGGTTAGAGCCAGCAGCCGAAACTCCTGCCCCAGGGCGGCTCCCCAGCTCCTTTCTCTTTGCTTGCAGTCTCTGTCCCTCCCAGGGCAGGTGCTGTCCCTTGCCTTGGTGACCACAATGAGTTCTGGCAGAGCATTCTTGCTGGCTGAGGCAGGCGGGGTGGCCCTGGGCCCTGCAGTTCCCGACCAGGCCTGAAGGCACCCGCTGGTCTGTCAGAGCTGCTGTCAGGCCTGGGCCCCCGCACCCATCTGTCACGGGGCTGCTGGGAGCTGAGGCCCCGGGTCTGCGGAGGGTGGCACCACCAGCCTGTCCTTGTATTCAGGTCCCAGGCAGGGCGGGCTGGGGCCTCAGACTCTGGGGTCCTGGGAGATTAGGACCTGGGTGCCTGTGTGGTGGGGAGCGCGGCCCTGGGAACCTGGACTCCTGGCTTGGGGAAGGGAGGCTTAGGGCTGGGCCATTGCAAAAACTCCCAAACCTTCCTGGTCAAAGGCCGAGCGTGGGAGAGGAAGTGGGTGGGGCGGGTGGGGGGTAAAGTCCCTCCGTGAAGCTGGCTCAGTGTACCCCGGGGTAGGCAGCTCACCACTCCACGTGGGTGGACTGAGACAAGTCTGGTCAGCCAGGGTGCCCCAAATGTTTCATCCCGGGGCTCCAGCCCCCCTTCCTCCCACCTGGGCAGAGCTTGGCACGAGAGAGACCTCTGGGTGCAGGAGAAACAGAGGCACGTGGGTGTCGGGAAGGAGGCATTAACCCAGGCAGCAGGTGCGGGCAAACGTGACCTGGGTAGCCAGGGAATCGGATGACAAATCAGATCCTTTGCCTCCTGGGGCTCACACTGGGTAAAATGCAAGGGCGTGTTTTGGTTTTGTTTTTTGGTTTCTTTGATAGAGGGGTTCACCATGGAGTTCAGCCTGACTTTGAACTCACTACGTAGCAATCCTCCTACCTCAGCCTCCTGAGTGCTGGAATTATAGGCGTGGGCCACCACGGCCTCTCTCAGCTCATCTGCCACCCTGTGCCCCTCCAGCTAGGCCCCTCCCCGGTGCCCCAGCCGCCCAGGCACAGCCCTGTCCCAGGGTGCTTGCACTGTCTAGTCCACTTTCCTCTCAACCCCCCAGTGGCTTTTCCCCTTCACCTCACTACAGTCTCTTTTTAAAAGAGCTTCAAGGAGCCGGGGAGATGGCTCAGTAGAATAAGTGCT